AATAAAACCTATAAATTTCAATTTTTAGAAAATAAATTTGGATAAATTCAAAATGTTATTTTAAATGTTGATACATGCAAATATAGTATTTATTAAAAACCATTTCAAATGGCTAAATGAACACAGAAGCTTTAATTAAGTAAATTTTTCTCATGATTGTAATTATCATACGAAATTAATTTTTTTAAATATTTTTCCAGTAAAACCTGCTTTACCTAAAACTACTCTTAAACTTAACTATAAACAGAACCCATATCACTATAACGCAGAAGAAATTGTTCAATTGTACCAAAAAGGTGGAATTATTCTAAAATCGATTTATCCTCTGGTTGATGTTTCTTTGCTGAAAATCCTATTTCTAATAATTTTCTGCAATCAATTCAGTCATATTAAATTTCAACGTTGAGACTTTTAATGGATTTTGATTATCGATTACTACTGCAATTAATAGTTGCTCATGTAATCATTATAGTAAGTTAATATGCTACGTGACTGCAAAATGTTTTTCCGACTTGCAGAAAGTTAAATACTTGAAGAAAAAAAAAAGTACATAAGAAAAACTTTATTCACGCCTGCATAAAAAAGTTAAAATTAACTTTAATGCATAATATAATTATATACATTTACAAGAAGCAAATATATTGTTTAGTTCAAGCAATATTATAAATATCAGCAGCAAACCTTCTGAAAGAACTGAAGAATTTTAGAAATATTTAAATTTTTTTGAGTGTTAAATTTGGATAAAAAATTAATCAATTAAATTGAAAATCATGTTTTAAAACATTAATTCTTGTCAAAAGTTATAGAAATACATTATTTTATCAACATTGAACACCTACATGGAACGGTGAAGTAAATTATTCTCATGATTATAATTTTCATACGAAATGACATTTTTGAATTATTCGTCTTGTATACAACATGTAAAACCTAAAAGCAGGAAACTCTTCACCAACACCTTAAACTAGGCTATTATCAAAAACCATCTCATCATTATGCAGGTGAAATCCTTCAAGTTTTCCCAACAGGGTGGAATTAATCCTAAGTAGATTTATTCTCAGGTTGATGCTTCTTTGCAAGTCCCATCACTCACAACCTTCTACTAAGTCAACGCAAGTCTGACATATTAAACGGCGACACTGTGTCTTTTTAAGGAAAGGATCAGTGAATCTCTTTTGAATAGGCAAGCTTCCTGTTTCCACATTCTATGACACCTTCGCGTGCTTTGAAACAAAGACTGATTTATTTCATCCTTAGGAAAACTATTTTTCAATGACTTTCTCTTTTGTTTTTCTTTTCCTATCGTTCATTGGTAAAAGACATTTCCTATCCATTTCATTCACCCTAGAAATAATAATGATACTTTTGCTAAATTTGAAATTCTTGTCACGAATTTAACTTTTGATATTTTTTATTCCTTGCACAATACCACCTGACAGACATGCTATTTTCTTTCGACTTAAATAAATTGATATAAAATACTAGCATAAACACATCCGTAAAGCTTCCGAAGAAATCTGAAGAAACAAAAGTACGGTTTGAATAACACTGAGTAATATATAGTTATCGTTAGCATGGGACATTCTCATTTGTTAAAAAAATTAAATATTTCTAAGATTTTAATATTTTTTGATAATAATTAAAATAAATTAATTTAACACTGATTTTTCATCAACGAAATTAGAAAAGAGATTTTGAGATAGAAAATTGCATTATTGATATTATAAGAATGCAATTGATTTTAAGTTTCTTTTAAACATGTTTAAAAGGTATACAATTTAATATTAAAAATATATGTAAGTCTTCTCAAAAATTAGAAAAGAACAAAAATATGTATTGAAAAATATTGTGAAATAAACATTTTTTTTTAATTTGATTATTTGGGATAATCTTTTATATAATAGTTTTTAACATACACTGAATGATTGTTAAAATATAGATTATTAGAAGAAAAATAAAATAAAATCTTAGGATTGCATCTCATAATAATAAAACAAACTACATTTTTTTGCTTGTAACTGCTCTAATGTTCATTTGCATGTATACTGGGTTGTTCAATTAGTTTCATGGTAAATTTGTAAATGATACTTTGTTTAAGATTAAATACTATTTTCCTTGATGTGTAATATTACTTACGAACCAGATTTATTCTCTTAAACAAAATCAATTCATACTGTCAGAAGATAAAAAAAAACTTACTATATTTTGCTAAATACTTCAATTTTTTACATATACAACTCTAGAATATTAGAAATTTTATTTTAGAAACTTTGTAATGCAACAAAACTGTTCAACTAATGCAATGTTAAATTTAGGATACTTATTAAAAATAAAGTATTTTTAATGGCCAACATACGAATTTTTAGATATCGTAACATAATTATGTGTCTTAAAAAAACGATTGACATATTTAGCTGATTATTTATAGTTTTAATCTGAGAGATCAAGATCAATTTCAATGAAGCTTATCGTAGACTCTTTACCTCATCTGAAATTAGGATCAAATCTAATCATTAAAAATTATTTTTTAATTTAAATATTTATGTAAGTTTGTGGCGTAAGAATTTTATACATGCATGATTTTTATTGTTACATCTTTGTCTATACAAATAGAATTAAAAGTGTGTTGCTCACTGAGAAATAAAAATGTGATCCAAACTACACGAATATGGTAAAATTTATATTATTTCTGACTCTATGAGTACACCTAATTGCTCACAAATTTATGCCGTAGCAATTTGATAATGATCTTGGTTAACATTAACATTAAAATATAGTTTTATGATATGTGATAAAAATTGGTAAATGTCGTACAATATAGGTATAATACGTTAATCTTGATACCTTAGATCATGACATAAAAACTATTTAGTCATTATTATGATATTTAGTAAGTTATTTTATAGTTCTTTTTAATGAATACTCTCTTATAAAGACTATGATTAATGAAACCAATCATTTTGGTCAATCTTTAACATATGAAGGAAACAATTACCAAATGAATGCGTTTAATATTTCGGTTTTATTAACTAGAAGCATGCTTTCTTTCTTACCGAAATACCAATACCATATAATACGGTAAGTTTACAAGAATTTTTTTCTCCGTATTAATGCTGGAACTTTATTTTTTGGAGCAATAAGCAACTTTAGGTAGTACTAGTGCAAAACCACGATTTTGGGCAAAATTTTCGAAAATGAGTTAAATTAAGAATCCCAGTATTTGTGGATTTCTAAAAATACATAACTTTTGTTTGTGCTCTAAATATTTACAAAGTAATAGCAGTTTTTGTGCAATGTGATAACAGGGTATAGACTAAAATTCTTAAATCTTTAAATGCATTTAGCTCAAAAAATAAGATTTTTTCACATTTTATACCATCTGAAACATGATATCTCATGTTGTTTTTAAAATAATTGTCTACAATTTTTCATGAGCGTTTATGATTATGGTGTCTTAAACTACAGTCTAAAAAAAAATTGGAATTTCATTATTTATGCATGTTTTTTCGCAAAGATAATTCAAGAAATATTTAAAAATTTGTATTTTTTTGCTACATTGATCCTTAACTTAGTAATATGAGCACTTTCTTCTGAAATAATTGTTCAAAACATAGTTGATAGCCTCCTAAACAAAAGCCTCAAAGGAATGTTGTTTTAGGGAATATCATTTTTTTTAACAGTGTTTAGCGTATATGTAAAAAATGTCTTATCTTTACCAAAAAATGCCACTTTAAATAATAAACAATAATAATTTATTTTGATAGCTTTACAAGTTTTTTCACGTAACAAAAAATTTATTTGTTTTTTTCTTTAAAATTTCGAATTAAATTTTAACAATAGACTTGTCGAAACTAATCGGATAACTTAAAAATTAATTTGAAAGTGAAATGCCACCAATAATTATTTTGTTATTATCTTGTTAGGGGTTAATGTCACCTAAAACTGTTATGCTTTACAATACCTTTTTTAATTTTTTATAAAATATCTCAAGTTGAGCTTATTCATAGTGTGGGAGCACACAAATGTAAACAATTGCATAATATTTAAATTATTAAAATATACAATGATTAAAAATATATCAGCATTCGTGATGAATATTGTATATGAAGGAAACAAAAGACTTAGTTTCATTGGAACTTTAGGAAATAGCTAAATATGTTTTAATTGACAACGTTTATAGAGTGAGCACATATGCGGGCAATAGTTACTGTAACCTTAAATAAACCTTTGGTCAAAAAAATGGACAATTAGATTAGGAAAATGGTCAGATGCAAATCAATATAACAAACGCAATAGGTGTAAACTCAATGAAGACCCGTATTTACATTTCCTTCAAAGAATAGTCTTTGTTGTTATAAGTAGAATCTTAAAAATGGTACTTCTATATTAGTAATTTTAACGATTTAAATCCTAGAAAATTTTCTGCCAATAATAAGAAAAAAGATTCAATTGCATGAAGTTTGTTTTTTCGTCGCCTGTAACATTACATACTAAAGCAATGTGAAAAAGGACAAAAAAAATTTTTTTTTTTGGCTAAAATTACTTTTGACTTTCTATAGTATCTAATAATTGAATACATTCAAAAATGTAATATTATTGAACATTAAAGGATAAATGAAGTATTTCGTCATTACATGTAGTCTATTTTTCTTATCGTGCATTTTCATTATTTACAGAAGCACTGAAAAATAAGGCAAAATAAAATAGAACAAAAAAATTTTCCTTCATCAACCAAATTTTTTTAAAAATCTTGTATTGTATTAAAATACAGAAAACATTTATAAAATATGTATAACATAAGTTTAAGACGTTTTGACAAACGATATTATGAGCAAGTAATATAGCATTTAGCATTTTGATAGTACATCAGATGGCAATGTCAGTAAGTGTAAATATTTTTACACTTACTACTTACCTTTTTTAAATACTTACATATTTTTACTCTAAATTATTTTTGCACTTATTTTTTTTATTCTAATGATATTTTTTGCATGTTTCAGGTAAGCATGAAAATGCTGACTACCACGATGAATTAACTTCAGGTAAGTGTAGTCAGTTTCACGTTGATGTTTGAAAATGACGCATGATTTTTGTTTTCTCCATGTCTCCATTTTATTTTTGTACATTCGGATGATTATCTTCATTGTATTACCTGGAAACCAATTTTCTTATAGATATTTTCCTTTCTCAGGAAAATCGTTACGTTTAGATTAAAATTATTATTCAATGTTCCTCAAGATTCTGATAATTTCAACAATCTGATCTAAATACTGTTTCTGTGTAACTGACTTATTTAAAAATTATTATAATTCAATGAAGAATATTTAAAAAAAACTGCAAGGAACTATTTGTGTTGAATTGAAACTCATATGTAGAAGAAATTTAGTTAAGTCATATCTTTAATTCGACGAGTAATAAAATATGCAAAATTGAATTGATCCTTATTGTGATTCTAATTCAGTTTATATTATTTTTAAAAAATTATTTTCCTTAGATTTTTTTCTATTTTTTCTTGATAATATTAAAGAGTGACTATAAAAATTAATGGCTTTTTATTGCTTAAAAAGTACGTTCAAATCGAGTCATTTGTTCAACTCAAGCAATAAACTCAAATATGTACTCAGTAAACTCAAGTATTGATTCAGATCATTGCAACATTTTGTTTCTCATTACAATTCATTACATATGATCTTAAATTCGAAATTTTTCCAAAACTTTTAATAAATACGAAAAAGGGCACATAGCAAATATAAACTTTTATAGATTTTTGAAATCATTTAAATAATTTTCCGACTAGCCCATTAAAAAACAAGCGACAGGACAGTAAAAAACTTCACTTTAACTAAAAGTTGCCTTATTACAACAAACTAGTCCTTAGTTTTGTTTCTAGATATATGCATTGCAATTTTCTAAATTTTCCACCTGATAAAAAGGTAACATCTTATCTCTGTAAAGAAATCATGTTTTTCATAATTTCCCTACCAATTTATAAAAAAGGAAAGAATCATGACTGTAAAAAACTACACTTTTGCCAATAATTGCGTTATTAAAACGAAAGTTCATAGTTTTGTATTTAGTATTATAGATATTCTAAAATTTCCAGTTGATAACAGTTCAATACACGAAAACATATATCTATCTTATTTCCGATGAAGAAATTGCCATGTTTTTTTTTCATCATAACTTCCCTACCAATCTACAAAAGCAAACAAAATCCAGGACAGTAAAAAAAAATGCCATTTTCATAAGTGGTAGCATTATTACATCAATCTTAGTTTTCAAGTTCTATCAAGTTCTTAGTTTTGTTTCTAGATACATACGTAGCAAGTTTCGAAACTTTTTACTTGATAACTGTAAAATACACGGAAACTATAAAGAAATCGTAATGTTTAATGAAATGTAATATTCTCCTATAAAGAAATCGTAATGTTTTTAGCTACAAAGATGATTTTTCATTAAATTGTCTCAAAACCTCAGTATGTACCAAGTGTTAATGAGTTTATCACTTAATTAAGTTCAAATGTTTAAAGTTCAAAATGTAGAGAAAACGTGGAAAAAATTACAGAACAATGATTTTATATATATATGCATATATATAT